GAGAGAGAGAGAGAGAGAGGTGGAAATAGCTAGTTAGTATGTTTGTTTACTAACTATATTTCTATACTGTGCCAAATAGTGGCAACCCACTACTCCGGGTGGTTTCCAGTAGTGAAGTTAAACATAAAAAGATAACTATCCTCCCACCTAAGCCACAAAACGTAATATAAAAGGAGGGCAGCAGTCTTAAGAACCCAAGATGGTGGCAATGGAACCAAATGGAAACTGCAAAATATTATAACCATAAATAAACTGCTGTACGTCGTTTCCGACTCTTCATGACCCCATGGACCAGAGCACACCAGGCCCTCCTGTCTTCCACTACCTCCTGGAGTTGGGTCAAATTCATGTTGGTCGCTTCAATGACACTGTCCAACCATCTCATCCTCTGTCGTCCCCTTCTCCTCTTGCCTTCACACTTTCCCAACATCAGGGTCTTTTCCAAGGCGTCTTCTCTTCTCATGAGATGGTCAAAGTATTGGAGCCTCAGCTTCAGGATCTGTCCTTCCAGTGAGCACTCAGGGTTGATTTCCTTTAGAATTGATAGGTTTGTTCTCCTTGCAGTCCAGGGGACTCTCAAGAGCCTCCTCCAGCACCACAATTCAAAAGCATCAATGCTTCGGCGGTCAGCTTGCTTTATGGTCCATAAATAGGATGAAGTAATAAGGAATTATCAAGGGAGAATATCCTGGAATACTTTCCTTATTTATTTATTCATCTTTCCATTTCGATTCTATTTTCTATATGTAATTATCTCTCAAAGTGGTACTGTATATGTTTGCTACCGTGTTCTCTAGACTCACTAAGAGACTATGGCTTAATAAGAAGCTGATGGCATATACAGTACCAAGATCCAGGTCTATAGAGCCTGTGTCCTGAGCACACTCCTGTATTGCAATGAGTCCTGGACCCTACGTGCATGGCAGGAGAGGAAGCTGAACATGTTCCATATGCGTTGTCTCTGACGCATTTTTGGTATCACCTGGCAGGACAAAGTTCCAAATATAGTCCTAAAATGAGCTGGAATTTTTAGCATGTATACATTACTGTGACATCTATGTTGGCTTGGGCATGTCGTGAGAATGGCTGATGGTCAGATTCCGAAAGATCTCCTGTATGGAGAATTAGTGCAGGGAAATCGCCCCAGAGGGAGACCACAGCTGCGATACAAGGACATCTGCAAGGGGGATCTGAAAGCATACGGAATGGACCTCAACAGATGGGCAACCTTGACATCTAAGTGTTCAGCTTGGAGGCAGGCGGTGCATCATGGCCTCTCCCATTTTGAAGAGACTCTTGTCCAGCAAGCCGAGGCAAAGAGGCAGTCCTGAAACCAACAAAACCAGGGAGCTGGACAGGGGACAGATTGGATTTGTCTTCAGTGTGGAAGGGATTGTCACTCTCGAATTGGCCTCCTCAGCCACACTAGACGCTGTTCCAAGTCCTCTATTCAAAGCATGTTACCATAGTCTCTTGAGACTGAAGAATGCCTAAAATCAAGCTACTTTTTAACTGAAATATACTTGGTGGGTCAGCTGATAGGAATTAAAATAGACAAAATTACAGTAAAACAACAAAATATGATTGCCATTATAAAATCACAAACCAATTTTAAAGCAAAAATAGAGGCAAATAAAATGTGCAATATCAAATTAATTTTAAACTTTGTTGTGATTTGCTGTCAAGGTGCCTCTGACTTATGGCAACCCTATAAACGAAGAACCTCCGAAACGTCTGTTCATTAACAGCCCTGCACAGCTCTCATAAACTCAAGGCAGTGGCTTCCTTTATGGTACAAAAGTTAAAAATAATTAAAATAGGAAAGAATTACAACAGGAATACGACACAGGTAAAACAAAGAGGGAAGGGAAGAGAAAATGTAGTTAGCTGGGAAGAGGATATGGAGGAGAGAAGGAAAAGGGAAATCTGTGTTGGCAGTGAGACCTCAGGGAGCATTCTGGATGACCCACTGCATCCCAGGACACCTAGCAACAAATTGTACCGCCAATCCCCAGGGTGGATCTACTCAGATCTGCAAACAAAAATATCCAGGGCCAACAACATCGTGCGGACATCGCCACCCAAGAGTTCCCTATGGTGGCCGCCTCTTCCCTGGACCCTCCAGATGGGACCATAAATACAGCCACCATGACATTTAGGACGGCAGCCTCTAGTCCCGCTTGCAAAGCCTTTAAGGCGGGCGGGGATGGTGAATTTTCGTGGACTTCAGATCCCAGAAGTCCTAGCAAGCACGGCTAGCATAAAAATATTACGGGAGTTGTAGTGCAAATGTCCCGCCAGGTCTGAAGTCCCACATCACCAACTAGTTCCGCGGCAGGCATTGAGGCGGCAGCAGCGCACGGGCACGTTTTTGTACACAAAAGGATACCGGGCAGGGAGCGGGCGCGCCACTGCGGGAAGAGGCGCACAAGCGTGAACGGCTCGGTGGAAAGAGAGGCTCCCGTTTGCAGCGGACATCCGTCCGACATCTTGAGTCGTCGAGAGACTCCGCGATGGTGCTTCCCGTCGCTCTCTGTGGTGAACTTCAGTTGCCGGCTGCGGCGGGCGGGGCTCCGGGCGGGAAGAACCGCGCGCTCCGCCCCCCCCTTTCCGCCCGCCCTCTGAGATCGGCGACGGGGTGATCCTGCTCGCCGGTGGCAAGAAAGAGGAGCCCGGCCAGGGACGTGCCAAAGAGGCCGCCTCGTCCTCCTCCTCCTCCCCGCCGCCCGAAAGAGAGGGGCAGCTCGGTTTGTTTGGACTCCGGGGCTTCGGCCGCACCGTCGGGTATGAATCCGGGGCCGTCGCGATACCGTTTGCAGGAGCGGAGGGAGCCGGGGTCCGAGAGGTGAGCTTTGATAAGGTTGCGTCGCCTGGCGAGCAGATATTTTTTTGGGGGGGGGGGAGACCACATGGTGGGATTTTATGGTACTGCCCTTGGTCTCGGAGGTAAGCCCAGTTTGTTTCCGCGGGGCTTGTTTCCCTGAACGTTGGTGCCTAGAGAGTATCGCACTCCTTATGGGTGGACTTGTAGGGTGTTCCATATACAGAACATAATTGACCCCCGTCCCCGAATATTGAAAGAAAAACTTGTGTAACCCTCTTCTACACCTGCATGCTTGGTTTCCTCTAGAAAAGGAAAGCCCCCCCCTCCGTCCCGCCCCCTCCCGCGGGGAAGGCACGCGGCAGGGCTTCTTGGCGCCATTAGAAATTATAGGCACGAAAGCCAGAGATTCCCATTCTGTGAGCTCTGGGCCAGCTTGGAAAGATCAAGCAGTTTAGTAATAGGCCCTGGATTCCTAGGAGTCACGTTTATACTGCTGTTTTTTTTAAAAAAAAATTATTAAATGAAGCTAATAATGACAACACTAACGTAAAATGTTTGAATCCTCAATGCAACCCACCTACAATTCCCCTCCTGTGCCACCCTCACCCTTGGGACTAGGTGACCAGAAATATCCCTTTTCACCCCATTCCACTCCAAAACTACAGTACATTGATTCTTGTTATGCTGGTTTATGACTGTTCCCATTCACAAAGACATACAGTACTTCAAATATAAATTCCATACTTTTAAAAAATCGTTATATTTTGTCATTCTCCTTATTACTTTCATTTCACATTAGTTTATCATTAATCGCTAAACTCCACATTTCTTTGTACCAATCTTCAAGATTAATTTGCTTATAACTTTTTCAATTCTTTGTAAATATTAGTCTTGCTGCTGTGACCGCTATAATAAACTCTTTCTCTTCTTTTTTTAATGTGATTGTTCTTAATTATATTTAATACGGGCAATAATTGGTGATATTTGAATATTATGATATATCAGTAATTTCTCTAATTTCTTTAAAAATCAGTGCCCATTCTTTCTTCCTTATTTCACAAGTCCACCACATATGCATATAGCTCCCTTTTTCTTTTTTATATCTCCATCATTGAGATGGTGCATTTTTATTAATTATATTCAGTCTTGCTGGAGTAAGGTATCATCTCCATGTAACCTTGTGACAATTTTTTTTACCCTTATAGACTTTTACCCTTATAGATTTATTGTTATGACCATATTTTATTCCAATCCTCACTTTTGACTTCTTCCTCTAACTCCTCTTTCAACTGATTTTTCATCAGTCTTTCATATCCTGCTTGTGTTAACATCTTATAAATTACACTAACTGTACCCTTTATTTTGGTTCCTTCCTCCTGAATTTGTCTTTGCCCTATAATCTCCTAAAATTTTGTCAATTGTCTAATTTCTCCTACTATTCTGGTTAACTTCTTTGTCCAAATTTCCATTTAACCAAGATATCCCCTCTTCCTGCTCCCAAATTTCCTTTATAGTATTTTTATCTTTTTCATCCAGCTCCTTATTGTATTTAACCCTTTCTCTACTAATTTTATTTATTTATTTATTCGATTTGTATGCCGCCCGCACTCTGCAAGAGTCTCTGGGCGGCTTCCAAGATCAATTAAAACAGTTCAGTTTAAAACAGACACTAAAAACCAATACAGCTACATCCACTCTACAAAAGCAAAAGCAAAAACAAATACTAATACTTCTTTAAGTTCAATTCTTTTTTTAAAATTTTTTAAATTTTATTTTATACAAAAAATACAGGAAAAAAACATATATAACATCAGAAATACAAAAAAAATACAAGTAATAGTGCTTATTATAAACTAAATTCCAACGTGCACGCCATACCCACGGGACTCTATTTACTATAATAATTTTTTTTACATATTACCTCTCCAAAATTGTATTGAGTATTCTTTAGAGGCTTTCCCCCTTCCTTTCACTAACACAAATTCCACAAATTTACCCCAAATATCATAGAAATTGTTACAACTTATTTCCCCTCTTTTTATTTTAAGTTCCATAGTCAATTTATCATTTAATGCTATGTCCCATACTTCACAATACCAGTCTTCAATTTTAATATCATTCTTGTCTTTCCAAAATCTAGCACCTGTCATAAAATTAGTGATTAATTCTTTCGACTGATGGTCCAAATCTGTGTTATCAAAAATTGACAATAAAGCAATTTTGGCATTAAAATCAATATCTTTACCAAATATATCACACATTTCTTTAAGTTTAATTCTAAGAATTTTGGGGAGGTTCTTATATTGCTATTTGTTAAGATGATAGAACATGCCCAAGCAAGTTCTTCATTCAGATTGTAGGAAAATCAAATTCCATTGGCTGGTCCCAGCGTTGACAGTGAAGCACAACAACTCAGTAATTTCAGATTTGAATAATACTGATAAGTAAAACATTGCTGAATTAAAAGGGATTCTGTTTTCAGGGTCTGAGATCCTAATTTTCACTTAATCTGAGGAAGTGGAAATCCTGAGATCCTGTTCTGGTTTTGTATTTGAGGAAGGTGCTTTTGAGCCATGAAAGCTCACACTGCAATAACACTATTAATTGCTGCAATACTTTGCCATTCACATTTTTCTTTCCTTTTGTCAACATGCTGAAATAGGCTACTGTGGCTACTTCTTTGGAAACTGTGGTCAATCTGGAAGCTAATTAATCTTCTAGAAATCTTATGTTTATGCCTTTAAATTTCCATTATAGTTACTTATAGAAAGAAGCAGCCAGAGTTGTGGTAACAAGGTAAATGTACAATCTCTGTGGTATCCCCAATAGTGTTCCTTCTACAATTCATCCCTGCTTTTTCAGTGTTCTGACCTCACAAATTGCTTTTTCACAGTTTAGACAGCGAAGATAGCCAAACAAACAGAGGCAAACCCAGCTACTTGGACCCTTGGATTGTGACTCTTCTGCTGGAGTACAAGGAGCCAGAACCCCAAAAAGATGGGCAGGTTGGACATGTTCTGAAGGTAGGTTGACATGGCTTTCTCAATAGCAGTGGATAAGGAACTCTTTTTGTGGGCGTCTAGATGGTGCGGTTGAGCCTGCTGAAGTCTGTTATCGTCACATTTCTTTCTGAGTCTTTTCACATTTTGCATCCAAACTACAGTACTTTCATGTTTTCGTATATACGGGGCACCACTGTACTTTTTTCCATTCATACCCCACCCCCACTACTTTTGCTGTTCTTTGAACTGGAAATACTGTACAACGTTGACACAGAGGACAAATCCCTTCCCAGTGAAATGAAAGGATGCACCCATAACTGTCCTGATAGGTTACATACTCACTGCTTTCCTCCTGTATTCTGGGAGGGTGATCCAAATATTTCAGAAAGTGAGAGAACCAACTTATATCCCTTACTGCCTATGGCTCTTCCCAGGTTCTTTCTGGTTTGGAAAAGCACTACTTACAGATCCATTTCATGGATCTTAAGGTATGTGTTGTTAAGATGACCAGATTACTACTGGTAAGTTCTGTTTCTCTACACTAGGTGAAATGATGTAAAAACTTATCTGGTTTCCACCTTTATTTTAAATGAGCATATGTTTTCTTTGTTTTTGCTTGAAACACTTCTGCATGGTAGGTTAAATTGAGAAAGAATGATGGGCTCAAGATTTATCATTATGCTTTATGGCTAAGCAAGGATTTGAAATTGGTTCTTACCAGTTCTTGTCCAACACTCTAACCATCATATCATCATACTAGTTGAAGAGTAATCCTGTAATGTGGCCATAATTGATTATGCTTATTATTGGGGAAGAGGATGAGGCACTCTGTGCCACCTCTTGAACAGTGGTGATAATCAGGATTTCTGCTTAGTATGTGGCTTGCTGTCGGTGTTCCTTATTGTTTCCACTGACTGATTAGATTAATTATAGCACAGCCACTATGACAGCACAAAGTTAAGACAATGTGACTGTTGTTGTTGTTTAGTCGTTAAGTCGTGTCCGACTCTTCGTGACCCCATGGACCAGAGCACACCAGGCCCTCCTGTCTTTCACTGCCTCCCGGAGTTTGGTCAAATTCATGTTGGTAGCTTCGGTGACACTGTCCAGCCATCTCATCCTCTGTCGTCCCCTTCTCCTCTTTCCTTCACACTTTCCTCACATCAGGGTCTTTTCCAGGGAGTCTTCTCTTTTTATCATGTGGGCAAAGTATTGGAGCCTCAGCTTCAGGATCTGTCCTTCCAGCGAGCACTAAGAGTTGATTTCCTTTAGAATTGATAGGTTTGATCTCCTGGCAGTCCAAGGGACTCTCAAGAGCCTCCTCCAGCACCACAATTCAAAAGCATCAATTCTTCAGCGGTCAGTCTTCTTTGTGGTCCAGCTCTCACTTCCATACATCGCTATTGGAAAAACCATAGCTTTGATGATGCGGACCTTTGTCGGCAAGGTAATGTCTCTGCTTTTTAAGATGCTGTCGAGGAGTCTTTTAATTTTGTGGCTTACTTTCACCATCTGCAGTGATCATGAAGCCCAAGAAAGTAAAATCTGTCACTGCCTCCATATCTTCCCCTTCTATTTTCCAGGAGGTGATGGGACCAGTAGCTATGATCTTAGTTTTCTTGAAGTTGAGCTTCAGACCATTTTTTGCGCTCTCCTCTTTCACCCTAAGTAAGAGGTTCCTTAATTCCTCTTCACTTTCTGCCATCAGAGTGGTATCATCTGCATATCGGATGTTGTTGATATTTCTTCTGGCAATCTTAATTCCGGTTTGGGATTCCTCTAGTCTGGCCTTTTGCATGTTGTATTCTGCATATAAGTTAAATAAGCAGGGAGACAATATACATTCTTTTTGTATTCCTTTCCCAATTCTGAACCAGTCAGTTGTTCCATAGCCAGTTCTAACTGTTGCTTCCTGTCCCACATATAGATTTCTCAGGAGGTAGATAAGGTGGCCATGCACTAACATATTTTTAAGGACTTGCCATAGTTTGCGTGATTGTAGTCCTAAGTAATTTCCAGCAGCTTAACCTGTGTGGTGTTTGGATGCGACATAAGTTCAGCTGTCAGTGGCTAGTTAAAACTGCATTTTAAATCTGCAAATCTTCCTTATTTTCTTCATCATGGAATTAGAGATTCTGGACTCATTTGGTTCTTCTTTGTCCTTTTTTGTTGTAAATGCTTGCTCTTACTTCCTACTTTATTCCCCCAATTTACCACTAGGTTTTAAATGATGCAAGTGCTCTCAGTCATGATGAAGAGTGCCCAGCAGCTATTCTCTGCATTGGGGATGGACACCATTATATCCAAACTGTTATTACAGCCCATGCTGCTCAGATGCCAACATGGTAAGTTTTAAGGTTTGATTTAGATTTCTGATTGACGTGGAAAAAGTTCTATAACTGGCAACTCATCTAGTTTGGCTAAATTTCTTTTGTAAGGGAACTGTCAGAGAAGAAAAGTTGAGACAGTGCTTTCTCATTTCTTCTGCACTTAAGACCATGTGTCTCCTCTGGCTGAAATCCTGTTGCTTAGTGTATAAGTCACAATGAATCAGTGGAAATTTTGTTGGTCAACTCCTCCGTAAGTTCCATTGATTCAAATGGACATTGTATAGTTGTGATTTATGCTAAGCAACAGAATTTCAGCTAGAAGATGGAGCAAGCTTGGTGACTAACAGATTGGTTGCCTTATCTGTCAAAACATGCCAATTTAAAAAGGCATGACAGTATTACAGAAATGTCAAAGCAAGCTAAAAATTAGTCAAAAAAGTCCATAGGAATTTAACATTGGTCTAAAACAGCAAAATTAGTTGATCCTAAGCATTTGTGGATTACAGGAACTTGGTGAACACTATGCCCAGCAATCATTTGAAGATTTCTTTATCCATTGACTTTTCTCTCTATCTCTTTCTTAGTGGTGTACCACAGTCTGGATTTTCTGGTCTCGTTGGCCAGTTCATCATCCTCCAGAACTACAGAGTATGCTTTAAAGAGGCATCAAAAATGGTAAGGCATACACTATATTTAATACGTAATTTATGAGAAAAAATGCCGATGCTCATTGTCTTTTTTCCGAGTGATCTTGGTGGTTTTGGTTTTAAGAAATTCTGATGTCTGCTATGGGACTTTGCCCCAGCAACTCCTCCGTGCCTCGCATTGCGACGTTAATTCGTTCCAGCAAAATCGCTGTTGAACGAAAACGTCGCAATGCGAAATAAAAAACCCCATAGATTAATGCGTTCCTATGGGCTTAAAACTCACCGTTCAGCAAAGATCCTCCATAGCGTGGCCATTTCTGGTGCCTCTTAAGCGAGGAATCCGTCCCAGAAAACAGCGAGCGGCCATGTTTTTTCCGGGCAGCCATTTTGAAACCACCAATCAGCTGTGCGAAAATGGTCGCTTTGCGATGATCGGTTATCGCAAAGCGAAAATACCCCATAGGGAACATTGCAAAAGCCATCGCAGAATCTTCATCGCAAAGCGATTTCGGCGCTAAACAGAGCGATCGCTATGCGAGGCACCACTGTAATAGGAAGCAAAGCCATCCCAGTATGGCTTTTGAACAGGATGGTTGACTGAAATATATTAATACAGTACTGAGGGAAGGACAGACAGTAATATATCAGTTGAACTTTCTGGGTGAGAGAATTCAAGCAGATGTCTAACTCCTGAGAAGCACACTATCTCTAATTATTTTTAACTATAAAGAGGGAGTATAATCTCAGTTTTTTTGTCAGTGCTGTTCTGGAAATAAGGTGCATTGGTTGGAGGTAAAATTAAGTGATGTGTATCACTTATCCTTAAGAAGTGTTCTGCTGTTTAAACATCTTACATAGATCAGAAATATTATACTTTTTTACACATGTATACTTCAGAATCATATTTTCATGACTGTTAAAATGAAGGTGAAGATTAAAATGATTTGAGAAAATAATTATAGCAATGTAAACTTCCTGACTGTTAGGACTGTACATCATTGGAACCAGTGCTCCAATGTTGGAGGCATTCATGAGAAAATTAGGCATTAGATATACTTTCATATCGATTCCTGCATTGAACAGGGAGTTGGACTTGATGGCCAGTCCAACTCTATGATTCTATGCAATAAAGTTCTTCTGTCATTCATTATTTTCATTTGTTACTATTTTTTGCAACACTTGGCAAGGCTGTATATTACTGCAAGAGTCCTAAACACCTGAAATAACAAATAAAATTTTTTAAGAATTTCTTGTGAGAAATTGCTTGTTTACTGTAGACAAAGATTTGGCCATAGTGATATTTCAGGGGATTTGAGGTAATCTTGGACTTCAAATTATAAATGATCTATGAAATTCTTGCAAATGGATAGGTGTTCTTTATTGTTATATTGGAAAAGTGGTATTTACATAGTTGTGGAAATTATGTGATATGTCCAATATCTTTATATGTGGATATTGTGGATATTTGAATATTGTAATAGGAAATGAGATCTGAAGATAGAAATTATTTTAAATTAAAATTACTAAAAGTCCCAGCTATGAAACATGAATTTATGTTTGGTAGGTATAAGTCAGTTCTGATTTGAAGATGCAGAACAACAAACTTCAAGACAGGGTTAAGATAGACTGATAGTAGAGATTCCAAGTAACAGTGAAACAATGAATTGAGGCCAGGAGTCCATTTCCGTTGGCTGTAATAATTCTCAATAATGCTATAAGATAGGGATGGGCACCCTCCCAGCACCCTTGAAGAGACACCAATACTCCCACACACCCCAGAACTCTTTAATTTTTTTAAAGAAGAGTTAGATTAGTTTTCTTTGCTCTTTGGGGCCATGAGGTTAAATTTGGTCATGCTTTGAGCCCTGCCCCTGGCCTTTTAGCCCCAAATTACAACAATTATTTTGGGACTAGAATTTGCAAGGAGACTTTCCTAATACCCCTCCATTTTTATTAGGAGAAATTGGGGAGATAAGGTTTGTTGGAGTGGGTGCAACTTTTCAAGGTCCAGAGAAGAGGATATGCAGCCTCAGATCTCAGAAGATTATCCCTTTCTTATATCTTTAGCGCTTTTCCTTCAAAGCTATCAGGTTAGCTTTATTAATGAGCATTCTGTTTTAATAGTGAGAGTAATATATGTGAGATACCTGTAATAAGTTAGAGTGAAATAATAGCCAGAATTCTGCTGGTGTTTGCATAAAGTCTGTATAAGTTGTATTGGTTAATGAGGTGGTGGGACACATATTGGTTGTATGCATAGTCATTCTCTCATTGTGCTATTAAGATATGTCCTAGCATCTTGTCAGTTAGCTGCAGTTAGCTGCAGTTAGCTGCAGCAAGCTATGCAAGCCTAATGTGAGCAAATCTTATGCGAACAGCAATAGAATTCTGGCCATTGCGTGACATTAAATGAATTGGCCGTAAAGCCATTTGCTCACTATCAGGTTTTTTTTTTTTTTTTTTTTTTTTTTTTTTTTTTTTTTTTTTTTGCTTATGGCTATATCCATTTGAGTTTATTTAACTTGAAGAAGTCTTGGGTAAGATACCATCACATCTTGGAAAAAATACTTTTACTAGATGGCCATGCCAGTTGTTGTCCAAAACTGATAACCTGCCACAGTTTGTAGGTGTGGGGAGATGACTGGGAGATATATTTTGGTCCTATGAAGTTGATTGTTTTTAATACATGCAGGTCATTTCAAAAAGGATACACACACAGTATGGAAGGAGGAAATGACATGGAATTCAGTGGTGCCTTGCTTAACGAGCACCCCGTTTAACGACTAAACCGCTTAGCAGCGAAGAATTTGCAAGCGAAAAAGCGATTGGATTGCGATGTTTTAAATAGGAAAAAATCGCTTTGTGATGATTGGTAAGCTGTTTTGCTTACCGATTATTGCATAGCGATCTTTCTCCTACAGCTGATCGGCAGTTCCAAAATGGCCGCTGGAAAAAAACCATGGCCGCCCGCTGTGTTTTGGGACGGATTCTTCGCATACCGGGCAGCGAGAATGGCCGCCATATGGAAGATTTTCCCTTAAAGGTACGTTTTTTGCCCATAGGAACACATTGAAGGGGTTTCAATGCATTCCTATGGGCTTTTAAAAATCGCTTAGCGATGTTTTCGGTTAGCGGCGATTTTTGCTGCACCGATTGACATCGCTGAGCAAGGCACCACTGTACTTGTAAAGGAAAAATGGTATTATTGGGAGACATCTGGCACACAGAATGCATGAGTGTTGGCAATTTTATGTCCTTTTCAGGTGTCATACAGGGCTAAAAGAGCGGTAGGGATCATAGAATAATTGAGTTGGAAAGGGCCTATAAGACCATCAGGTCCAACCCCATGCTCAAATCAAGGGATACAAATTCAAGAAATCCAAATCGATATGCAAGGAATATAAATCAAAGCAGATCTGACAGATGGCTATCCAATTTTCTCTTGAATGCTTCCAGCATTGGAGCACTCACCACAATGGTAATAGGTTCCATTGTCATACTGCTCTAATAGTTAAGTTTTTCCTATTATTCAGCCTAAATATGGCTTCCTGTAACTTGAGCCTATTATTACGTGTCCAGCACTCTGGGCTGATCGAGAACAGATCCTCCTCTGTATAATTACCTTTCAGGTATTTGAAGAATGCTGTCATACCTCCCATCAATCTTCTTTTCTCAAGGCTAAACATGCCCAGTTCTTTCCGTCTCTTCTCACAGAGCTTGGTTTCCAGTCCCCTGATCATCCTTGTTGCTCTCTTCTGAACTTGCTCCAGTTTGTTGACATCTTTCTTAAAGTGAGGTGTCCAGAACTGGACACAGGACTGTAGAAGAGAATGTATGTAAACCCCACCCCCATGTTCTCTCTCAACATTGAAGTCACTTTGGAGCAGTGCTCATGTGATTGTGAACTATGGCAAGGCACAGTCCATAATTGTATGAGCACCAGAAGAATGTGTTTCAGGTGTGATACCTATCTTGAAATGGTATTGCATACTAAAATTGTAATAATGATGTGAAGTACTATTGTGCTGGAATGACAATTCGGATGCTGAATGTTAATGTTAACTGAAATATGTGGTCTTTCTGGTTCAAAATGGTGCAGAATAGGTGATGATTTAGATCACTTTGAGTAGTGTGAGTTTGGTATTTTCAGTCCTATTATGGTATTGCCTCTCATCACTGCAGTCTCCTGCTTCCCACAATTATGCATTACTAGAAGCCTTAAAAATATTTGATAGGTTTTTTTAATGAAGACTGTTGGCAGTTCGGGTAGTTGCATATTCTAGTATGGGAGGGATTATTGGCTGTTATGAGTAGGAAGAGCTTGCCTGCAGACACTTGTTTGGCTACTGCATGGACAAAATCTTGGACTAGATAGGCTTTTGGTCTCATCAAGCATGGCTCTTTTTTTCTTCTTATGCTTTCTTAGAACCAAACAAATATTGTCATTTTAGAAAAAGCATGCCTAACATTTTGAATTGAAATCACAGGACCTCAGTTTTCATTGAGCCCTAGCACTGATTTCCTATTGAAATAATTTCCTTCTTGGCTGCTATTTGCTCTCAAACACTGTTTAAACACCACCTTTGGAAATATATGGCTGTGGAAATAAGTGCAGCAAAATAAGAGTGCAACATTCTGTGGATGTTTTTCTCCTAGGGTCACAAGGGTGTTAATTTAATTAATTAATTAATTTTAAAATTAGCAGTAATATATTAAATTTGTAAACATGACTTTCCATATAAATAAGAGATAAATATGGTGGTTAAAATTATTATATACAGAATTGTAATTAAATCACAAAGCAGGTTTTTTAACACAGCAGGGTGGATTTGCTTGAAATCAAATTGAATATAAATCATAATTTAACTCACAGTTTAAAAGTTTTTGGACAATTTAAATCAAAAATTGGATTTAAAGGCTAAACATGCCCAGTTCTTTCCGTCTCTTCTCACAGAGCTTGGTTTCCAGTCCCCTGATCATCCTTGTTGCTCTCTTCTGAACTTGCTCCAGTTTGTTGACATCTTTCTTAAAGTGAGGTGTCCAGAACTGGACACAGGACTGTAGAAGAGAATGTATGTAAACCCCACCCCCATGTTCTCTCTCAACATTGAAGTCACTTTGGAGCAGTGCTCATGTGATTGTGAACTATGGCAAGGCACAGTCCATAATTGTATGAGCACCAGAAGAATGTGTTTCAGGTGTGATACCTATCTTGAAATGGTATTGCATACTAAAATTGTAATAATGATGTGAAGTACTATTGTGCTGGAATGACAATTCGGATGCTGAATGTTAATGTTAACTGAAATATGTGGTCTTTCTGGTTCAAAATGGTGCAGAATAGGTGATGATTTAGATCACTTTGAGTAGTGTGAGTTTGGTATTTTCAGTCCTATTATGGTATTGCCTCTCATCACTGCAGTCTCCTGCTTCCCACAATTATGCATTACTAGAAGCCTTAAAAATATTTGATAGGTTTTTTTAATGAAGACTGTTGGCAGTTCGGGTAGTTGCATATTCTAGTATGGGAGGGATTATTGGCTGTTATGAGTAGGAAGAGCTTGCCTGCAGACACTTGTTTGGCTACTGCATGGACAAAATCTTGGACTAGATAGGCTTTTGGTCTCATCAAGCATGGCTCTTTTTTTCTTCTTATGCTTTCTTAGAACCAAACAAATATTGTCATTTTAGAAAAAGCATGCCTAACATTTTGAATTGAAATCACAGGACCTCAGTTTTCATTGAGCCCTAGCACTGATTTCCTATTGAAATAATTTCCTTCTTGGCTGCTATTTGCTCTCAAACACTGTTTAAACACCACCTTTGGAAATATATGGCTGTGGAAATAAGTGCAGCAAAATAAGAGTGCAACATTCTGTGGATGTTTTTCTCCTAGGGTCACAAGGGTGTTAATTTAATTAATTAATTAATTTTAAAATTAGCAGTAATATATTAAATTTGTAAACATGACTTTCCACATAAATAAGAGGTAAACATGGTGGTTAAAATTATTATATACAGAATTGTAATTAAATCACAAAGCAGGTTTTTTAACACAGCAGAGTGGATTTGCTTGAAATCAAATTGAATATAAATCATAATTTAACTCACAGTTTAAAAGTTTTTGGACAATTTAAATCAAAAATTGGATTTAAAATTTAAATTGCAATTTAAATCAATTTGATTTTTTAAAAAATCATTTATTTTTATCCACCGTGATTCACACAAGAAATCTTTAAGAGATTTAAAGACAAACATATATTACAACAAGCACATTAGCTTAGAAACCAAAAGATTGCTTGAATAAAAATGGCCTTTTTTGGTCAACAGGATGACATCAAAGTGGAGTAGCTACCCTTGTCAGGGGGCTGCAGGGCCAGGAAACCTTCAGTCTCTTTTTAAAAAGTTGACTAAGCTATACCTAAAATGCAAAGCTTTTAGAGTAGAGGGTGCTTTTAATGTCAGAAATTTATATTCAGATCTCTCTTCCATTGTGAATATAACATACACTTGAGCAAGCCACTGTTTCTCAGTCAGTTCTGAACAAAGAAAATGCCATGTAGTTCCCAAGATTACACAAATGTAAGAGTAGGTGATACTTTTTATAAGGACCACTAAAAATTAAAGAAATTTCCAGCTTTTGTCGATAAAATTCCTCTTCTTCAGGCTTAGCACAACTCCTCTATGGATACTGCAGAAAAACTATTTTAAAAAGTCCAGGAATGGATGGTACATGTCTGTGAGAGGTGACAGGAGTCCTCTTGAGGATGTTGTCTTGAGCAGGTTTGTCGTGGGGTTGGATTTTTTACATCCCTGCTGGGAAGACGGAAAGGTTGGCAGTTGTTCTGCGACGGCCCCTCCCCCTCCCCCGATGTGCGCCCGCTCCCGTTTCTTGTTTGGCTTATGGGTGTGGAGAGAGAGAAGACGGAAGCATAGCAGCCTCTAGTCAAGCGCAAGTTGGAGGTTATCATTTGGTTTATTCACCAAGTAGAGATAGCTAATTGCACTAAACTAGTCAAATTGTTTTATTTTTACCTGGCGAGCGTGCAAGAAGATGTCTCCTCAGGTTGCAGTCGCCTCTGGCTGATGTGAAGCATCCATCCATTGTAGCTGGTGTTGAGAGGCCATGCCATCTTGTAGATGGTGCTGCGCATGGCCGTTAATGGGATCTTACATAGTCCAGAAGGAACAAAGACTTAATAGGGATTTTGTTGGAGGAGAAGCAGGATGAAAATAAAATATAATCACTGATCCGTCCCCTTTATTGTCCTTTTGTGGACAAATTACTTATCCAGGCTGAGGTTCATGACTCTGATAGCCAAACCTAACTTGAAATGGCTTTTGAATCTCAGAAATAGGCCTGTTGTTGTCCTGGTGGTCTGGTGTGGTGTTTTGCTGAGAGGATTTATGTGAGGCCTCAACAGGGGACAGGGGCTGCCGAGGTGAGGCTGTGTCTGGAAGATTCAGGAGGCCTTTAGTTTGATTTTATGTTTTTTAGTAGGAATTCACCCAAGTTAATGGGTTTCTTCAAATTCAAGGAAGGAAAACAAGGAATGAACCAAATCAGACAGGGTTTTTGAGGGCTTAACTCTTGTCTGGGTTTGAATCTTTCAGTATTCAGCCATGTTTGTGGTGCTGATTTAAGATATGGCAAACAAATAATTGTAAGCAAATCATGTAACACAATGTTTGACAAGCACAAATTAAATGTAGATAGAGTGAAAAACTAATAAAGTGTATTTTTAAAAAATATGGCAACTCTTCCCACCCCCACCTCTTGACTCTCTCCTCACCTGAGTAGCTAAAGAACTGGCAACAACACAGTGAAACAAATGGAGGTGGCTGGTTTGTGGGCGTCGTGAAAGCACAACAAATTATTTGCTGTTATATTTTTCCTGTCAGGAGGGGATGGTGTAATTGTGTAATTTTCCCTATGGTTCCAAAACAACTTGACTAGCCTTGAAATAAGGGGAGACAGTGCACAATTTACTGCTTGGCCTCAGACAGCAAGTTGACTTCAGCCACAGGAGACTAGTTCCTGCTTTTTATTTAAGAAGCTCTCGCTGCCTGCTAGTGTTCTATTTAAAGAGGAGTAGAAAGGGTCCTTTTTCAGTCCCAAAATAGTGCTTCTGCAAAAATCACTATTCCAGTCAACCAAGTTATATTTGTACAAGGAGGTTTTGCCTGCATACTTGCAGAAACTCTGTAACTATCAAGCCAATCGCACTAACATTGTTATGCAAAAGGTTTCATCCAAAAAGAAACCTGACCTTTGTCTTTAAGGTCTGGTCCCCTTAACTACATAGTGGAGGGGCATAAAAAGGTTAAAATTAGAAGAATTCTGGAATAGGACTGTTGGGTTTCAATCTGGGCCCTGCCAGTTTTCCCCACAATATTTTTCAGTACTATTGCATCCATCACACAGAGAACATGGATTGTCTTATTTGGGACTCAGTCCTTGTCTAGGCAGAGTGTGCCTAACTGCGTGTCCTTTCTATTTTCAGGAAGATTGTGAATTCTACATCATACTAGATTGCTTCCGAGTGATGCCCTTGAACAGGCAGGCAACAAAGCAGCATGATTGGTGAGAAGTTTAATTTCTCCAAGTATGATTTTGATGTTGGGATGTGTTGGGGGGGGGGGTCACAGATTGCTAGATTCCTTTCTTGTGCTAAAGCAAGAGAAAATAAATCCAAAATATTGCAGTGAAAGTTGTTTCCTGTCTTGCAAGGCAGCAATAAGAAATTCCTCAGAAAAAAATCCAAAACATTTCTAGCAGTGCAGTTTCCTGTTTTTATACCTAGAAAGGTGAAACAATGGTAAAGTCATTTGTCCTAGTAATTTTGTTCCATAATGTAGCCTTGAAACATCTACAAGCAACTAGAACTCTCCACTCTGTGACTTACTTCCTTATCTCTTTCTTGCCACATACATTATGCAAACTTGTAAAGTAGCGATCAGTAACTATTAGCATTAAAAACCAGAAATGGTTATGTACCTTAAGTTTTCTCCCTTTTGTCCCTATAGCAGGAGTCCCCAACCCCTGGTCCATGGCCTGGTGCTGGTCTGTGGGCTTCCTTTAACTGGGACGCGGACATGGATCTCCGCCCCCCTGACACGCATGCACGGTGGGCATGTCGCACTTGCGGAGGGGTGTGTCCTATGCAGTGGTCCCCAACCTTTTTCGGTCTGCGGACCGGCTGGAGAAGGTGGGGCACCCCCCCGTGCTCGTGTGCATGAGCGAACAAGTGCGCATGCTCTCACACGAGCATGCATGTGCCCATGCGCATGCACAACTGGTGGCACAGCACTTGTCTGCACACGCGTGCTCGTGCACATGTGGAAACAGCGGCATGCTGGAGCACGTACACAGGTGCAAACGGGCTGTGTAGGGTTGTGCGGGGGTGGGTGGGCCGGGAGGTCTGTCTCGGAGGCTTGGTCCGGCTCAGGCCATGGACCGGCACTGGGCCGCAGACTGGGGGTTGGGGACCTCTGTCCTATAGGAGAACATTCCAGTTTCACTTTTCATAAACACTTCAACAGCATCATTATAAGCCTTTTTTCTTCCTCCAGCTTAAACAAAATGTGTTACATCCTTTCTTTATTCATTACACTTTTAGCTTTCTTTGTGCAGCAATGCAGACAGCATTTAAACAGATAAAGCTGGGCCACTATTACTATAGTATAGTATATTCCTTCTTACATTGTCGAGACATTTCAAAGGTTCCAGTTACCCATGACCACAAGTCCCCTGGCCTGTCCTCTGGGATATAAGCTGTCTTTCTGATTGTTTGGTATAAGATCTCTTCCCTTTTTAATTTGTAATTTTTAAATTATAAACCAAAATACATATACTACTACTGTTTCCCTGAAAATAAGACCTAACCTGAAAATAAGCCGTAGTATGATTTTTCAGGATGCTCGTAATATAAGCCCTACCCCAAAAATAAGCTCTAGTTAAGTGAAACCCCGCCTTCCACCATTGTGCAGCATCCAGAAGATGACATGACTGTATTTGAATAAATATAGATTGTTGTACATGAAAAAAATCCCCTAAAAATAAGCTCTAATGTGTTTTTTGGAGCAAAAATTAATATAAAACCATGTCTTATTTTCATGGAAACACAATAACACATAAAAATATATGAGCACAAAATACTAGTACACCCCTCCCCATAGGGACCATTATAATTTGTATAGTTTTGCTTATAATCATGCTTTTCCTTCCCCTTTATCTACTCCCAAAATCCTTCCAAAATTACATATATTCATTGCCCATTGTTTCCCTTCCCCGTACACAATACAGTTTTGTAAATTCTTCACACGTTTCATTGAATCTATTAATCTTTATCGCTCCTTTCCTTGAATTAATTTCTGAAGTCAGTTTATCATTAACTGCTATGTCCTATACTTTTTCTCTTGTAATTTATTTATTAGACTACTTTTAACACATTCTGCTGTTCACTAGTGTTTTACAATGATTACTTTTTCTCAGTCTGCTTGGCTTCTGATCTGCCAATTTTAACTCAGCAGCTGCAGCCTTACTTAATCTCCGACAGTGGCTATAACTGCATTATTTTATCTTAAATCATTCCACACACTTCGCAAGGGTTCTACTCACAAGGGAGAGTGGTGAGAAAGTGAAGGAAGTCTCCTTTAAACAGGGCAATCTTATTATTCCATGAGGGTCCAGGAGTTATATGGTCTAGCATCTGCACATCTGCAGATGCTGGGTCCTTCCCCAAAATCTCTTACTCGTTCATGGGCATCAGGACTATATACACAACATTCTGGGCCCATGAATGCATGCAGTCCCCACTTTTAGTGGACATAATATCTAAAGCTATTCAGTTCTGGACAGTAATTTCATGAATTTATTTGCTAACTGTCCATCAATTCCAAAGCTCCAGTCAGTTCTTAATTTTGCATGTTATGAACTAATGAAGTCCCTGTACTTCTTCCTCTCTTGCTGAGGACTGGATGTCATCATGGCTATTGTGATTATTTTGACATGTCAGCTCTGAATAGTGATGTTGTGCCACATCCAAACAAGACTCCAAGATTTTTTGGCCAATAAGTTCTTCTCCTTTATTCTGTTTATTTTACTTTTAATAATAAGCTGTATCAATTCTTACTTTTCATTTTTCATTGCATGACCAGAATATTTTGTCTCTATATTTTATGTGTTTTTTGATTTCCTGGTAATATTTATTCGCTTCATTGTTTATCATATCACTTTCTGTTTAAAAGCTTCACTGATTTTTATTTTATTTTAATTTTGTTTTGTTTTATTCACTTCTATGCTATCTTTCCTCTGGCATCTTATTTGATCTTTTGACTGTGGCGAAATCTGAGATACTAAGATGTCATTTTTTAAATAGCAATCAAGAACCATCAGTGCTGCAGAAGATAAAGGAACTATGGCAGTAAGTATATATTTTTTAATTTATTTGTTTTATTTATATCCCACCTATCTAGTCCCTCAGGACCACTCTAGGCGGCTATATATGGTCCCAAATTTGCTATTATGTGGTTCTCATTTGATTTAGTTTAAAGTTAGCAATTGCAGTGGCTTACCAGTACTCATCCTAGGTATAATTTTGCAGATATTTGTAAGCATTTTAGAATTTTTACTTTAGAGTGTAGAATGCTTTCATTTTCCCATAAATTCCATGAAAAAATGACTACCAGTTTTGAGTTCTGCATTATGCCAGATAGCAAACTTCATTAGTGTAGTGGTCAAAATTGTGCGGGCAGCTCAGATGACGAAATGTTTTCAAAGGTTAGTACAGGTAGTGAGATATTCTCATCCCAAACACAAATTTGTTTAGAGCCAAGTGCAGCTTGTCAAAGCTGGAAGAGCAAGATGTTCAAATTTTGCCTAGGCTGGTATATGATAAGAGGCTCCCAAATGCCACTTATTTAAGCACTCAGTCATAAAGCTAAAGCATCCCTTTTGTATCATTAATTAAATTATGTGTAATTTTCAATTAAATATAAACACAAGAATATATTAAAAATATCTATTTCTTCTTCGTGGTCTCTGTGAAGTCCCATATGGGTTAGTTCAACACATGGACAAACAACTTTGAACCTTCTGGAACCTGCAGAGTGTTAAACCATACCCCTCTTCCCTATCCATGCTCTGCACTCTGCCTATTGCCTGCCAGATAATTTCCCCACCACCACCACCACTGTGTGAACAACTGGTGTCCTCAGAACCATAGGAAAGTGCAGGAAAGTCTTCCTTTTTTCTTTCCTTTTTCTATTTACTGAAATATATTTATATTATAAAGGAGTAGTTTAGCATTAGTTTTCCCTCTTTCCCCGTAGTTTTTCCTCAGCTCTGTTTTTCCTGCTGCTTTGCAATCTAAGATCATTCCCATCATTTTGTGGCCTCTATGAGACCTTTCAGGCACTGTGTGGAATACAGTAATAAGGGCCATTGTTGTCTAGGTGAGACACAGCAATCTCCTCTTTGCCAATTATGTAAAAAGCTGAACAAAGACACCATCTAAAATTGCCAACAGTGACTGTGGACTGGCAAAGATCCTTCCAGGCTGTAGATGCTACTGCCAAAGAGTCGTGTGTTGTTAAGGATCCTGTTCCTCTGAAACTGCTCGTTATGGAGCCTCTAGCTTGCGCTGCAGATGCACCAGAATTGGTGCCTGGGGACTCAGAAAAACCGTTCACCAAGTCTGACCCTAAGCTGTCTTTTTCTGAGGTGGCAAAAGCATCAGATTCTATACGCTTTGACTAGAAAAATAACAAGGTACTGATACCAAACAGCAGCTGAAGAAAACAAAATAAAAAAAACTGAGATCTCCAACTCTGACACTGATCCCCCACTCAGCACCAGAGATCCCTCCTTGAGACAACAAACTTGTCTGCATCGACTTGGCTTTGGAGTCAGAATTACATTTGAGACTGTATAGCCTATTGAGGAATTATCATATCTGCCTCCACCCATTCACCCAAGTGGGGACATTTTAAAGAACTCAAACCTCAGCCTCCTCCTCTGGTTCCATCTCCAGAGTGCTTATCCATTTCTTCATAAGCCTCGGCATTAACTTCAAGATGAAGCAAAGTTCAGACTAAATCTAGTCATCACCATCCGCATTGCTACTGGTGTCAGGAGGAACACAGGCTTTCAGCCCCTCTGTACCCAGCCCCAATAACATATTTTATCCCTACTCCAGATTGGCCTATGCTTTCTTGCTCCTACCACATGCTGCCTGGACATGACATTCTCCGCATTCTACACTCTTCCACCTCAAGAGCCATCACAGTCACCTTCTCCAAAACCAAAAGTTTCCTGGAAGGCCAGCACTACACTTGATCTTGGTCAGGATCACTCTAGCTTGCCACCAAACTTAACTCAGTTGCCAGAATGACCTTGACCGATTAAGAGAAAATGTGCACCAACTCCTCATGCCTCAAATGAATCCAATGATGCCTCAGAGTGCTCCCCCACTTCAACTGCATGTCAAGCCTTCCTGTCCCATTGTGAAGAACTCTACATCGCCCTTTCAGTCAGTGTTGAGACTTCCTGTAACATCTAAGGCTTGCAGCAACTTCTAATTTCCAACAGCCATACTTGGCATTGAGCCCTTCTACACCCAGCCCTGACATTTCTCAGGAGCTTTCCATACATTCTCAGATTCAATTATCTGTTGACCTTGGTTACAGTTAGTCACCACCCACCAACTTTGAGGAAACATCTTCCTCAGCTCTATATCAATCCGAATGTCTACAAGCTGCCATGAGCCTGAGTCCACCAGACTTCAACCATCTGAATTACTTACCTTGTCATCCTCTTCAAAACATTGTTGGGATCTGAAAGAGAAAGAAACTCTTATTAATATATTGGATGGTAACACTGAACTCCCTGATGGCAAGGGATCAGAACTCTCTTCGCTTCAAGTGACAGCCTCCGAGTCCGATGTCAGCGACACCCTCTCCCTCTGAAGATTTTGAATCTTATTCAGAGCTCATCTTCCAAATTGCAAAAACCTTCTAGCTTGAAATACAACCACCCTCTACTAGGTCAGATCTGGTTTATGATGAAATTAACAAGGATCCCCCCTCCCCAGTTCATATTGGTATTCTGCGTTCATAGCTAGATCTTGCTAATCAGCTCTGGCAAAAATCATCCACCCTGCCACCCATATCGAGCTGGGTAAAAAGCCTTTATAAATGCCTCAACAGTTTCTACATAAACACCCAGAAATGAACTCTATTATTGTTGAGGTGTTGTGAACAAAGACAGGAGGACATCCCAGTGCAACACCTAGTAACAGGAAAGACAGGGAACTGAACATTATTAGAAAGTGAATTTATTTCACCACTCTGCTGAGAGTGAAGGTAACTAATTACCAAGCAATTACGGCTGCATATCATAGATTTGCAGCCGTATGGCCAAAATGCAACCACTTGTAGAATTCCTGCCAGAGGAAGAGAAAGTGCTGGCGCTCTATCTACACCTACCCTTGCAAAACAGGAGATGTACTCCATGCAAAAGATGGTACAGCAAAAAACATTGCTGCTGTGGTTGCAGCATATGCATGATATGCATAAAATCAAGAGGCATCTCAGAGAACTCCAGAGCTTGCATTGAGGATCTCCCCTTTGATTAGGGGTGGTCCCTTCAGTACAAAAACTGATGGTATTTTATTATTTTTATTTATTCGATTTTTATATCGCCCATCTGGCTGCCAAGGCCACTCTGAGCAACCTCTGTGGGCATATGGGCTTCCTCCCGAACCTCATTAGTGGCATCATCCTTACTGAAGGCGTACTTATTTCACACCTTCCTCCTGCTATACCTCTGACAGGTCCCACCCACCACCTGTAGTTTCCTCACAACATGCAAGACATTTCTCTCGTAAACCTTGATATAGGTTTAGCCCCCAACAATCAGGCCAGAAAACCAAGCAGCAAATGACTCCCCTTTGGTCAAGAACCAAATCCAATTTCCCACTCTACATCCCACTATAGTGCCATATTTGAACACCTTGTACCGTATTACAAGAAACAATTGGTTTCTCTCCATATTCCACCATGGCCGTACTTCCAACTGGATGCTTTAGGAGCACTCCACCATCCCACATCGCTGTTGCAGAAAACTGCCATCTTTGCAGTCCCTTCAAGCCGACCATGGCTTCTATTCTCAATGTTCAGTTTACAGCTACTTTGGATCTTAGCCTATTCGTTAATACTGAAAATTCTCATCTTACCCCAACACAAACTATTCAGTACATCGGAGCTCTGCTTGATTCCACCAAAGCAAAAGCATTCCTGCCCAAATAGAGAATGAAAAATATCTGGAATCTTGTACCAGTTTTGCTCCCAGTGTTTCAGTTACCACACACACAATTCAGAGACTGCTGGATCTGATGGTGTCAACCACATCAGTCCTCCCACACACACAAGATGAGACCTGAAACTTGGCACTTTACTATCTATTAACAGACAGCATCAAGAAAAAATTGGATGGCAATAGAACTAGGCTTCCGTGGGATAAATGTTTTCCATCCATGTTGCAGGGGAGGACAATCAAGAGGCTAATGTCCTGAGCAGGAATTGCTCCTCCATTCAGTTTTTCAGTGCATCTGTACCATCTGTAGAAAACCTATTTGCAACTGCAGCAGACCTATTGACCTATTTGTAACCACAGAAAAAAGAACTGTGAGCTTTTCTGCAGAGCAGGATACGGAAGTGAATCCTTAGGATAGCATTTCTAATCAAATGGAAGAGGAAGACGTTCTACCTTTTCTCTTATTTCTCTGTTGCATCAGGCTGTAGTGACACTCAGACAGGACAACTTAAGATGCTATTCTCATCGCTCCTTGGTAGCCAAACAATGGTTTGCCACCATCAGGGGGATGGCGTTGGACATCATACAGCTCCCATCTACACCTGATCTTCTTACTCAGGGCATTTTTGTACACCCAGACCTGCCTCACTTCAAATTGACAGCTTGGCGGGTTCTCCCAAATTAAAAGAGATCATGATTGAGTCTCGCAAACCATCCACAAGATGCAGCTGCCTTTACAACTGAAAGAAGTTTAAAGACTTCACACAATCTGAAGAAGATTCTCACATCCACCCACAGCTCTCTACTCTTCTTCATTTTCTCCTACCCTTAATATGATTTGGCCTTGCACAGTCCTCTGTTTAGGTTTATTTGTCTGCTACAACTGCTCATCAACTTCACAACTCGGCTGCCTCCCATTTTTTTCAAATACCCAACCTTAAAGAGGTTGCAGATGGGTCTTCAAAATACCAACCCAGATATAAAAATATCACCTTCACAATGTTCTCTTCCCCTTGTTGTATCCTGCCTCACCAAGCCTCCTTTGGGGCAAATCAAACGTGTTTCTTTTAAAACTCTCTTCCTGGTTGTCATCATATTAGCATGACAAGC